TGTGAAATTATCTCTATTGTTTGTTTTTTTGGTTTTTCTTGGGTTCTTCAAATAAAATTCAGTTTATGAAAATTCGGACACAGATTGAACTGTAAAGTAAATACTTCTCTTGGACTAGTTATGCATCACACAAACAGATACGGTAAATAAAGGTTATTCTTGTAGTATGGATCGATTCAAATGGGTTTGGTTGAAAGAAAGTAGTGAATTTTTGATAGATATACATAGTAAGGATGGAAGGTGGAAATCAAATATTCGAAAATGAATGTTTCATAAGGAGATACGATAGATGAAATGATGTGATGAGTATTTGTAATGTGAATCTTTGGACTTCTGTAAACTAGTTTATCTAACCTTCAATCTCAATATGAACTCTCCATTATTATTACTGCTTACTAGTACTGTGATGTTAAGGTGAATTTAGAACTAAATTGTCTATGTAATTACTTTTAGCTAATTAAAAATTTTGTAGTGAACATATTCAAATATAAAATTACTTAGTGACACAAGCCTGTGTGTCTTTTATATGTCGAAATTTTTTGATCTTACGCATGGTCAACTATCTCATTAGCCCTAAGAGAGTTCTAATAAGTTTAAGATTTAGCTAAGTGGATTAATAATTGGATTTAGTGTGGTATAACTCTCAGTTTTTGTATATTCGATATTATGTTTTTTGATATTTGGATTGGTATTACAAATGTTCGTCTTAGAAAAATTAACTAGAACCAAAAATCTTCCAGTGTACAATGATTCGAAGCTTCTCAAGCAATCAACTTTTGGGTACTTGAAAGAGAATATAAGATATAAAATAAGAAAACAGTTCATGAAAAATCCAACAGCCTAATTCGTTTTAAGCCTGATCTGTGAAAAGTCAACCTTTCCAATGAATTGTCTCCGTCATGGAGATAGTATGTCAAATTGACCGATAAACTGTCGTTATTTTTAGTCTAAATATCTGCTTTAATTAATATGTAAAACATTTTACATGGAAATATCTTTCAGGAATTCAGCAATAAAGTTTAGATCATTGGTGTTTGGTACCATGAACTACTTTTTACGTTAGTCAGTTTATTACTTTTTGACGTGCTAAGGTATCAAAGGTCATTAGACTTGTACAGATAGTTAAGTTGGAATTAATTTGTAAATGATGTTTGCTATTATTCATTCCTTTCTCAATTTGATTCTGTTTGTTCAATTCATGTTCTTGACTGTTAATTGACTGTTGTTTAGATCGACCTGTTAATTTACTTCTGAAAAAAATGAATGTAAATAGTGCAAAAAATACAAGATTCATACATTAACGATAAAAGATCTGAGTAACGAGGAGAAAAATACTATTAACAACTATTATAATTATGATATTATTGTTTGTTTTTTTTATTTTTCTAATACTAACAGCGAAAAGGTTTATAAAATGTTTTCGATTTTGTTTTGTTTTATTTAAAACATTTTTAACAAAAGAGACGTTTTTCAGATAACTGTAGTGAACTTTTAGGATTAATCGAAAGATATTAGTATTTTGGGCTAAATAATTGGTTTTACCCATTGTGACCTTCGTAGTGACATATGGATAATATTGGCTTAATAAGGGCTTCGAACATTAAGCTTAGAATAAAGCAGACTGTCAACTTAAATGGCCGTAAATTTTAAAAAAGAAGAGAGGTTAGAGTTACTGAGCAGAAGACATGATAGTTAGTGAAATAAAGGGTTTTATTTAGCCTGTTAACTATAATTATTTTATCACTTCTATTGATAACCCTGTATGGACCACTGAAAGTTCATGACAATGGTTGCTGAACAACATTCCTCCCAATAAAAATGAGTACAACATCAAACTCTGTCCTAGGCCCTCAAATGCCCTGGTACGGCTGAGAGTGGGGAGAGTCCGCTCTCCCTCTCGAAATGCTCTCACATGGCCATGTGTATAAAGTCTCTGCCAGGGAAGTCCTAATCACTGTCTTCTCGTGGCGGGGTGTTGTTTACGAAATTGAGAGGACGAAAAGCGAATGTTTGGCGCTTTAACCGGGTTGGTAGACACGAAGAGTCCACCTAGGAGAGTTGGAAAACCCTGATTCCAAACCAGTGGTGCACATGGGCTCCAGTACCCTGATGGAACAAACGGCATATGAATTAGTCGTTGTTCACCAGCTACCATGGGACTGCATCACCTTGCGATGCCCCATCGCCTTGTGGATCAGACCTTTAGGCGAAGGCTCGGGGAGTACCCTCCTAAGAAAACCACCTGCTTCGGTTTGGGCACCCGGGCAGTATCACAGCCCTCACACAATTCAAGTGAGATTTGTATGGCGCATATGTATCTAGTGCCCCCTTGTACCAGTATTTATGTGTTCAAATAAAATAACAAAATAAAAAATCCTTTACAACAGTTTCTAGGTGCCATTCATCTTTTTGATTTCTGCCTCCGATCCGAGACTCAATGTGTTCTTTGATCTTCCTTCCTTTCTTTTGCATTCAGGATTCCAGGTTAACCCTTGCATCGTGATACATTTTGGTGATTTTCGTAATGGATGTCTTATCCACCTTCAATGTCTCTTCCTGATTTCCTCTTCAGGTGGAAGCCGGTTACATATTGTTGTTAATAATAGCTATTATATTTATTCATTGAATTGAATTTTAAGCCAATTAGTTCTCATTGGATTGCATAAAAACTATCTACTTTATTCTTTAATCTAACTTAAATTACCAAGAACAAACTAAAAAAAGTGTTTTATAAGCTGCATCGATTATAAGTTCACTTGGCCATACTGATACTTCATGAATTTGTAGAATGATATTGAACTCATGATATTATAAATTACAATCTATTTTATATCTCAGTAATTCATATATAAGTTTAGAATTAAGCACATGAGAATCATTTCGTAAAATTAATGAATAAGAGTAGGCAACAATGAATAATATGAACTACAAAATGATAAATACATATTCTATCGAGATCAATTCGTCGAACTTAGATTAATACCGGTTACATCCCAAACAAAACAAACTATAAAGTAAATTGAATAAGACAATTGTATCAAAATGTATTTATTTGTTTTTAATTATTTTGAATATAATTTTTGAAACGAGTATTCGTTTAATTTTGCTTTTGTGTAAGTTTAATTTTGATCTTTTATTTCAGTTAATACTTATTTGTACACATAAATTTACTTACCTACTTGCTTACTTACTCTACTTTATTTACTAACACCTGTTACTCCCAGTAGAGCGTATGCCACCGACCAGAATTCTCCATTCCACTCTGTCTTGGGTATTCCTTTCTAGTTCTATCCAATGGTTGTCCATTCTTTTCATATTTGTCTCCATTTCTCGGCGTAATGTGTTCTTTAGTCTTTCTCTCCTCCTTTGGCCTTGAGGATTCCAAGTAGAGGCTTGCCTTGTAACGCAGTTGAGAGCTTTCCTCAATGTATGTTCTGTCCATTTCCAGCGCTTCTTCCTGATTTCTTCCTCCGCTGGGATCTGGTTTGTCCTCTCCTACAGTAGGTTGTCGCTAATATTGTCTGGTCAATGGATCCGAAGTATTTTTCAAACTGTACACATTAAACAAATTATATATTACAAATCAACTGACTATCAGTGTGTTAATCATTCGTTTTTAAATCAAAAAGTGTTTGAATTATGTAATTAATTAGTGAGATTGTTGATGTTTTATAATTATTGATCTAGATAATGGTTTTGTATATTATTCTTAGTAAATGAATTTTTGACTAGCGAATAGATCAAATTTATTCCAAAATATCTCATTGAATTATCAAATTATTCTATATCTTCTATAATATACCTGAAAGTTCCTATTCAATTATTCTTCTTACATCAGTTGTGAGATAGTAACTCACTGATGACAATGGCGAATGTGTCGCTCAATTTCCTGGATTAGTTGAAGTTAGACATTAACATCGTTAGATGCCGGCTCAGTGGTTTTGATGGTTAAGCGCCTGGCGCGAGACCGATAAGTCCTGGGTTGGAACCCCGCGAGGCGGGGTCGTGGATACACACTGCTGAGGAGTCCCACAATAGGATGAAACAGCCGTCCAGTGCTTCCAGGTTTCCATGGTAGTCTAGCTTCAACTGACTTATGATATCAACTGTTTACATTAGTTTTGTTATTTTACTAAATTTAAGAATTAATTTAGTGAAAAATTTCATTGGTTTCCAAGTAATTGTTATTATTTCAAATGTTATAGTTGTTTTATCAGCTGAGGTGTTGCGGAGACTGTTAAGTTTTTGATTGGAATCATGAGTCATTTGAAGCTAGACCACCATGGAAAGTCTGGAAGCACTGGACTGCCGTTTCGTCCTAGTATGAGACTCCTCAGCAGTGCGCACCTACGGTCCCGCGCCCCATGCGATTCGAACCCAGGACCTATCAGTTTCGCGTCAGGCGCTTAACCAACTGGACCACTGAGCCGGTACCCAGTGGTGTTGATGTCTAACTTCAAACAATCCACGAAATTGCACGACCATCTTCCATTGTACTGAGTAAGACACCAATTTCTACTCGACACGGACTAGCTCCACTGGTCACGGCTTCTCACTAAAACTCCGAGAATTTTCTCACAAAGCTAGTCACTAGTGAGCACATAGTTGTTTTAACATGGGATTCATTAGATGCTTCATTTCAGGTTTAATACTAATGACAGTAACTATTTAAGTGACGTTAAGTCCAATCTAGATTTTTTCTTAAACTATTTTCAATAAGGGTAGGGATAATTTGCTTTATTTTATTTAGAATGGCTTATAGTTTTTCTACAAACTAGGTTTTGTAAACAACTTTTCACTTTGTAATTGTCCAATAACCGGAACTTTATATAGATGATTTTGTATCCTTTCTTTATTCTTCTATATGATACGTTTATGGTTGTTGTATTTCGACTAATAAAAACAAAGATATCTGACCAACCAATCAGTAACTTACTAGATGAATATATCAATATATAATGGTAAATTTTATGAAGTGAGTCAGACAATTGGCTTAACTGGGAAAATTTATTCACTTGTAATTTGAAAATATTCAAAATATGAAAACTAGTGATATGAGAGGAGCTTTTGCTTTTTATGGAAGTATTCTAGCCTTTAAAACTTTAATTCTTGCAGGGGTTACAATTATCAAGCGCTTGCAAAACAAGGTAAAGATATTATTTCTTAATTGATTCATAATCTAATCATTAATTAGTCTTTCTGTAAAGATCAACCACATCCTGAGGTACAATCTATACAGAGGTAATTTTAATACTTTTTTTTTAAAATAATTAACAATTCAAGATGTCATTCAAATGATTTAGAAAATTTGGTACCATTTCTATTTCTTGGTCTACTTTACTGTAGTACAGATGCACCAGCTATAGTTGGATTATGGCATTTTAGAATTTTTGCACTAGCTCGAATATTACATACACCAGCTTATTTATTTACAGATGGAAGATTTCCTAGAGGATTAATATTTCTTATTGGTTATCTTATTAATATTTCATTAGCATTAAAATGTATTACATATTTTTCTGGAATATGGTAAACATTAATGATTAGACGATTTACCTCAGGGGAATTTTGTATTTCGTTGCTTTTTTTTATTGTTTCTTTGTTTCTTTAATAATATGTTCATATTTATTGATTTCGTTTGTTAATTCTAAAGTTTATTTTACGTTCCTGGTTAATTATTACACTGTGGTGGATAATATAAACATTATTATCACCATTATTATTATTATTATTATTATTATTATTATTATTATTATTATTATTATTATTATTATTATTGTCATCATTATTACTTGGTATTAATCGACTTGTAATATTCTTATAAAAAATGCAATCATTTTTAAAAATATATTGGGGTTACGTAACATATTTTATTAAACACGTATAATCAAATTTATTATTTGGAGAAAAAATAATATAAATAATTGCAGTTGAATCGACAACTTCATCTTTGTGCTAATGGAGTGTGGCAACTCGAACTGATGTACGTTCGTACGAAGTTCTAGATTGTTAATAACTGACTGACTGAACTGCTTACAATATTTCTAATGGAATACCCTATACGGATATATTTGATTCAGTAATACTATTCTTTTTTATCTAGATGCATTATAATAAAACTAATATAGAGAAACAGAAGAATAAGAACTTGAAGAATAGTTTATGATTTTATGTTTGAATTCTTACGAGGGCTAAGATAAACTAAAGACAGAATAGGAATTAGAAATGGACTAAGAAACTAAGAAATAACGTTATTTGAACTATGATATAGAAAGCATGAAAATACTGTAATGAAGGAAGAATTGGTTAAAAGAAACTGATTTATCCTAATGCACCTACTGAATTTGTAAAACATATAAGAAAGAAACGTCGAATATATAATTTTCACATCATTCTTAAATTGTCGCTGACTCACTTCATCATTTTTTTATTCATGGTGATATATTGCTTACATCAGACTTTGTTTCTTCGCACATTACTTTTCTCTCCCGTCAGTAGGAATCTTAATACTAAATCCCAGTAATTATTACTTAAATATGGCCATATAAGTAGCACATGCCACAATATATCTTCTAAAACAAAAAGCCAGTTACTGAACCATTGCCCAATAGTTGCTTGCCCACTCAGATAAATAGGTTTTCACTGGAATCACAAACAGATCTAATTTAAACAACCACAGAAAACCTGGAAGCACTGAATAAACGTTCCATCTTAGTATGGGGGTCTTCAGAAACATCATGAGTTGTTTAGAGCTAGATTTATAAACCGTTGGATTCGAAATCAGTTGTCCATAATTTAAGCGCTCGGGCAAGAAAACGAAGATTCAAGGTTTAGTGCCCGTGTGCAGGATCGTCTGTGCACACTGCCGAGGAGTCTCATGCTATTACGAAGTGGCAGTTCAGTGCTTCCAGGTCTCCAATAGTTGTCTACTTTAGATCGGTTCGTAATTTTAATGAAATTCAGCAAACTACCCAACCCCATTATTACGTTGAGGTTTTCGATCATACTTTTCTTGCTTTTCGGTTTTTAAAATATCTACTATGATATATGAAACTTATTCCTTAAGTAAACGGAAGCTCATATTGGCTACAAAATAAGTGGTTAGTTTAATTCAAGCTAAATATATAAAGATGTTACACAGCGTATAAATATGGATAAAAATGTTTTTAATTCGGAATTCATAAAATTGTAGTATATCACAACAGGTTTGGGAAAGGTCAAACTTTTGGAACTATCCTACTGGAAAACATCACTAGTGTATACCTAATAAATATTTGGAATATATTTTTATATTTTTCGTATTGTAAGCTTCGGGATGACGCCTAAAATCTTGTTATACATTTTACCTTCTGATGTATGATAGTGGAAGTAAGATATGGTTGGTCGCTGAGCTTGGATAAACAGGTAAGTAGGCTACGGTATATTAAGTATGTGATTTCCTTTCTTCTCATTGATTTCTACTCCGGACCCACTGGAAGTGACTGCTTGTAATTTTACTGAGTAAAGTATTATCTAATCCATACTCTAGTTCGTTTTTCTGGGTCGTGAATTCTGGATCTGAAATAACGTGACCAGTCTCATTATCGTATCAACGTATTATTGAATTATAAGTGAGAGAAACATATATTTTAAACCACCCGCTATATCACCTTTCTTGTGTTATTATTAATTAACTATAGACTTATTATTGAGTTTTCCTTCACTTGTTGTAGTCATGTATACATTGTGATTTTCTTATTATTCTGTTGTGCGCTCAGTTAGTTAATGTACATAATCACACAAGCTTATACTTATAATGAGTAAAGTTATAATAGAAGCCTCATCTTTTTTCTGAATTCGTATCCTGACTTCCTACTATTCTGACGAGGAGCTTCATTCTAGACCAATAAAAATGAGAGATATTGTTGTACAAGCTTGTCTGTTATAAGTCCAAACAGATAGAAATTGATATAGGTTATGTGATAGATATAATTCATATTCATCTAAAGCATTTGACTGAAGGACATATCAGAAGTCACAAATAATTAACCAATATATTTTCCCTTAACATTTGAGATGTATTAATTACATATTAATTGTTTGTTTGTCAGTGTAGCTATATAAGTGTAAGTACTCGTAGACACTAGTAGCATAGTTTAATGCAGTATAGTAAGATATAAAGCAAAGTATTATATGGTAATAAATCAATTCAAACCGGAATATGAACTTAATTAACATAATGCCTATAATATTGACTATTTTCGAGGTTTAGATTTAGATCGGAACCTTCCAACGAAATCATCACTCAGTTATAGAAATTAAATGCAAGATTCGGGCATGAAACTGGACACAAACAGATACAGTAAGCAAATGTTATTCTTGTAGTATGGATCGATTCAAATGGGTTTGGTTGAAAGAAAGTAGTGAATTTTTGATAGATATACATAGTAAGGATGAGAGGTGAAAAACAAATATTCGAAAATGAATGTTTCATAAGGAGATACGATACACGAAACGATGTGATGAGTATTTGTAATGTGAATCTTTGGACTTCTGTAAACTAGTTTATCTAACCTTCAATCTCAATATGAACTCTCCATTATTATTACTGCTTACTAGTATTGTGATGTTAAGGTGAATTTAGAACTAAATTGTCTATGTAATTACTTTTAGCTAATTAAAAATTTTGTAGTGAAGATCTTCAAATTGTTTGTGTAGCAAGTTGTACTACTTAAATAATTAAGTAGTAGTAAAGATTGTAAAAGTAAAAGTGTCTAATGCAATCACCTTTTTTCGACTGTTCTTCATACACGTTTAAACTTGATTTGTATAACTGATTGACGATTTCGGTGGAAGGTTCCGATCTAAATCTAAACCTCGAAAATAGTCAATGTTATAGGCATTATGTTAATTAAGTTCATATTCCGGTTTGAATTGATTTATTACCATATAATACTTTGCTTTATATCTTACTATACTGCATTAAACTATGCTACTAGTGTCTACGAGTACTTACACTTATGTAGCTACACTGAAAAACGAATATTTGAGATATAATTAACACAACTCCTTCAGTTAAATCCAAGGAGTAGGACATACTTTTCAGGAGGGAAAGGTGATATAGTGAGTCACTCAGAAGTAGCTAAATGTGAGGTTCATTTCTAGACAATTGGAAATGAACTTGAGCGTCAAGTGTATACAATCGGTTAAGAAATCGACTGATTCTCTTAGGGGTATATGTATATATAAATGAGCATTTATAAATATTATTCGGTAGCCAAATAGAACCTCTTTTCCTCACTTATCTTCTCGCTCAAGTAGCCAGTTGAATGGGTTAATGCGTAGTACGTAGTGTATCAGTATATGATCTCGGATACCACTGAATTGCATTTCCTTACCTGTGTTATATAGCACTGATTATCAAGAGGATACGACTTGATGAAAGCGTAATTAGAAGTAAAGATGATCTCTCTAAAATGGACTATAAAATTGCAAAACTTATTACCCATCTAAAGTATTGGTAATAATTTTCCATATAACCTTTAGAATCACTTTGTTAATTGATATGTTGTCGTAAATTCTACCAGCAAGCTAATTTTTAAAATTTATTCAATTTGACTTAAAATGAAAGAACAAGATCACAACAAGTTTCAAAATCTAGAATATCCATTTGAATGAAATAACAGTTGTTCACGTATCGAAATTTTCATGGTAATAAACAATTTTCTGCACAGAATTTATCAAATTCACTTATGAATATTCCAAAAAATGTGTTAAAAAAATTTTCGTCAGTAATTAGTAACTGTCCATCTTCATACATTAACATTCTTAAATCATTATAGTCTAGTGATATCTTGTTTGTTACATAATACTTTTCAACATTTATGTCCTGTTGTAATCGACTTTTATTTCTTAGTAAGATAAAGGAAGATAAACTAATGGCTCACGCGAGTTTTGTAGTAATTAGCTCTAGGTTAAGTTGTTATCTTCATATCAAGCACGTGAAATTATAAGAAAATTAACATAAATTATTGATTAGTTTAAACAAATTTCATTGCAATATGAACATAGTTAAACTATCCAATATCTGAGAAATTTGAACAAGTTTTAGCGGTAAATAAATTCACAAAATCAATAACTCAGTAAGTTTTCGATATTTGATGCTTCTGCACTAGATCACGAGTGGGTACGCTGTGTTCAACTCCTCCTATAACTGTTAACTAGCTTAGATCAGTCACTTCTCAGTATATCGATATTCTATCAAATATATCTGTAAACCTCTTCGCTTCTGACTTCTGATTTGACTTGATTGGCATATTTCGATTGTAGATGTTGTTATTGGTTAAGGTGGTGTTAAACTCCAAATACTTCTAGCATCTGTAAGATCACCGAAAATGTCTCTAGAACAATCAATTATGTAATAGAACACTATCAACTGATTTATTTTGATAAGTATTCTTTAACGTTTTACAATGTATATTGATAAACTATGCATATGGTTTCATCTAGTTTGAAGGTGTATAATGTGTGTTTTATTTTATTTATTCATCTCTTACATTTCATTTAAAACATTGTTTTCATCATTAACTTGTCAGTGTCCACTCTATGTTATCGGATATTATAAATTTGGGCCTTATTTTTCATTG